GTACTAGTGGAAGAGTTATTAGTCCACATTGGAATATTGATAGTACATCATTAGACACATCCCTAACAAAGACAGGTCAAGCGCACCACAATAAAAACAGACCATTCCTTTTAGTTTTACATAAAAGATTTATCAAAAACCCTGCTAGACTTCAACCACCAATGACAGTACTTGATTATAACCACTTGTTAAGCACTAAAGCACAAAAATTAAATTAAAAATTACTAATTAAAAACATGAAAATTACTAGTTAAACACTAAAGCATAAAAAAATAAAAAGATGGAAAGCTGCAAAACCACCAAATCAAAACAGGTTTACCAAATCAAAAGATCGCAAGCACTCACCCACGCTGGTGTCAAGACAGGTTTACAAGCTGGGGGCTGTTGCTGCTTGAAAAGATCGAATGCTGCAAAACCACCAAATGAAAAATTTTAATATCAGATGCACATAGGCATACGGTACCCATCTGTGCAATGTAATGGGACATATGTGATAGCTAACTGATGCATGCTGATGCTCAAACTGAAGTACAGAAATTAAAGAAAAAAAAGAGAAGCGAAAATGAAAGATAGAAGATGACATACAGACAAATAAACAAACAAAAGCTGGAGCTGGAGGTGAGCGGTGTGAGCAGTGGTGAGCGGCGCGGCAGAGGAGAAGAGACTGACTGGAGTAGGCTGGGATAGCAATTTGCAAGAAGCGGCAATTGGATTTCCTTCTGCATCTAGGGTTAGCCGATTATGTATATTGGATTTCCTTCTGCTTGTAGTTGTAGGGTTCTGTAATTGGGCTCTAAATTGGGCTGGGTAATTAGGTTTAAGAATATTAGATTAACAAAAAAAATTGGGTTGGACCGGCAATTGGGTTTGGAAAAATTGAAAAAAAAGTGGATTGTGAAATTTAAGTTAGTATTGGGTTAACTAATTAAATTGGGTAAATTCCAATAAAAAAAATTAAATTGGGTAAATAAAAATTAATTGTTAATATATGTACAAAATATATATATAAATAATTTTTTTTTATATGGATCCCCACGGGGTGGAGGAAATTCCCCGCGAAATTTCACGGGTAAAAAATTGCCTCCATCCCCGCCCCACGGGTAAGAATATTCTTGGAATCTCCATCCCCGTGGCGGGGATCTCCACGGAGCTCCACGGGTCGCGGAGAAAATTGCCATCTTTATTACACATATATAATATTACTTGAAAATACGTTAGTAAAATAGACAAAAAAATAATACGAAAAAACAAAAATTTATTTAACTTGCGCCTATCACCTCTTCTTATTCAAGTTTCCAAAGCAAAAGCCCATCTTGGTAGTAAATTATAGTATTAGGTAAAATTTAAAAATCACGTATTTTAAAAATAATTTTTTTAAATAAATTTGGAATGTTATTAGACTTCAGTTATTCAAAAATTCACTTTTAAAGTATTTATAAGTAAATAAGTAAATTTTTGAAAAAACTTGAATGTAAATAATTTTTTTTTTTATTTTGGTTGTACAACGAGAGACAATCATCTTTTATCTCTTATCTTACTCATCTGTGTGCAATGCGACTTGAACTCAGTATCTTTTACTTTTAGTAAAAGAAGATGACTACAGAACTGTTTAAGTGTTGGTAAATTTTTTTTAAACTTATTTAAAAGTCATTTTAAAAATTAATTTTTAATTTTTTTAATAAATTTTTAAATTTATGAGAAAAAAAATTAAACAAGATGACTTTTAAGCTTTGCCCAACACTAACACCCCCTAACTTCAATGATGGTTTTGCCGAGGTGGCTGCAAAACATCATATAACCTAATTTCATTTGGTGCTTTTGCTTTTACAAAAGCAAAACTATCATCAACAGCACCATTTTTAACTGAGGCGGATCCTTTTGCTGTTGCACTTTAATGGAGGACAATGTGAAGACAGCAAAGGTTTACTTGGTCAAATGTTCTCTAATTGAAGGCAGAATTTTTTTTTTAACATATTTACAAGGGGTGGGATCGAATCCAGGGTCAAGGAAGAAGGGAGAGTACACTATTTTCAATATGATTAATGCCATTAAATTCGAAGGGTCAAGTGCAATTGAAGACAAAACTTGAAAGGAGACAAAGATGAAGCTCTCATCTATCCGTGAAGAAGCAAAGAAAGTAATCAGTACCCTGCGTGCTCTTTAATTGTCCATACTTTGGCTTCACAAGATAATTTTGCAGTGTGCATATCCAGCTCCATATGCATCCATGCCCCCTCAAGTATACTGTAATTTATCAATGTCCAAATTCCACAACGAAGCTGTAATATATAAAATCCATCTCCATTTTTCTCACTTCTGATGTTATCTTTAATTAACTTTTACATGATTAAACCTTTTTCTTGGAGATGAAAAATGAAAATAAAATCAATGTGTTTTCAAAATTAAATTTGGATTTATTTATTCTGTGCCCTTAAGCACAAGATAATGAATAATGATTAAATAATTATTAATTAATAATTATTATTTTTTATTTTGAAAACAATGAAGTTAACTTTTATTTTAATTATAAATATCATTTGTTAAATTTTTATTGGTTTATTTTAAATTAAAAAATAAAAATTATTTTTTTAATTTAAAATTTCACATTTAAAAAAAATACTATAACTATTATTCAATCATTATTTTTTATTTTATATTCTTAAAATACAAGATAGAGAGACTCAATAAACTTTTACCTATCATGTGTTGTATACATTTCCTTTCTAAATTATGGCGTCTTACGCGTTTCCTTTCTATGATTGGTGATCTTTAGTCTCTTTTTGGTGGGGAAGATGAAATTCCGAGGAACATATTAGTATAATGATGCATGCACACTCTTGTACCACACATTTTATTACACATTTTAATTTTTGTTATTTTACCGTTAATTACACTTAATTCCGTGACCATCTTCCATCTTTCTCTTCACCTCCATCCTTATCTTAATTATCTGTAAGACAATTGCCAACCTCTCCCAGGTTCCCACCTTCTTCCTTTTTTCTTTTCTTTTTTTTTTTTTTTTTTTTTTTTTT